ATGATGAGGATGAGGAGGTAAGTCAGTGGTACCCAGCCATGCTCCTTGTAGCTATGTCATGGTCCACAAGGAAGAAATGCACTTTGTTCCTTTAGGGGGGGAAAATGGCTTCTCTTTTGGAAGTTGCTTCTGTTTTCATATTTTGGGACATTTTGAATTAAGATCACAGAATGAGAAACACTGTATCCTGATGTCCTTTGTTAGGTGAGGAGAGGATGTGAGAGTGTGAATAGTGAATAATTTGCTTGACGAGGTGATCGTTTCTTGTTTTATCTGTTGTCTTCTATCTTTATATTCCTAGACAAAGGGTCTAATTTTGCTATACTCTTTACTTTACAACTGATTTTCCGGCAGAACAGTAGATATGTAGCTTTAAATTTTATAGTTTACTTTTCCTTAGAAATCCTTAAACACACCTACATTTTCTCCTACTTTGAATTCTGTGTCATGGACCTTATTACCACCAGAGTGACCTCTTCATGGAAGCCCCCCAGGATCGTCAAGCTCGTTCCCCTGTTCACGAAGGTAAGCTGGGATTGAGGCTGCCTCTGCTTCTTGGTGTGAAGAGTTCCAGAATTCTTTTTTTTTTTTTTTTTTGAGACAGAGTCTCACTCTGTTGCTCGGGCTAGAGTGAGTGCCATGGCGTCTTCCTAGCTCACAGCAACCTCAAACTCCTGGGCTCAGGAGATCCTACTGCGTCAGCCTCTCAAGTAGCTGGGACTACAGGCATGCGCCACCATGCCCGGCTAATTTGTTCTATATATTTTTAGTTGTCCAATTAATTTCTTTCTCTTTTTAGTAGAGACGGGGTCTCGCTCCTGCTCAGGCTGATTTCGAACTCCTGAGCTCAAAGGATCCACCCGCCACGGCCTCCCAGAGTGCTAGGATTACAGGCGTGAGCCACCGTGCCTGGCCCAGAATTCTTTCTTTCCCATTAGGACATGGGATCCTGAAGTGTTCCAAGCCTTGTTTCTTTGTTAAGCAGGAAGCTGTTGTTTTTACCTTGG